AAAAAATTCGCTGGCCAAATTCTACGCGACAGCCCGTGAAGTCCGCGGCTCGTGTTCACCGCGAGGCAACCGGGCTGGACGACGCGGAACACGTAGGTAGAAGGAATCGAGAAGGAGAAGCAGAACGAAGCAGGGAGCACAGCTATATCGATGCGTAAAAAATGGAGAAAATAACAAAAAGGGAAAGGACAGAGGGTAAGACGAAGGGAGGAAAGAAGACGAAGAAAGCAAGGGGAGGACCATTGAGGCAACCCTGTATCGTTTTTCAAAGAGGTATACCCTCTCCCGTTTGTCTCTTTCTTTTCGTTTCGACCTTGTTCTCGACTTTTCTACCCTTCTGTCTCTCTCTCTCTTCTCTTCCGTTGTCTTTTTGCCTCTTCTTATATACACGAAGATCGTACCGTACCGTTGGGTGTAAGATTTCACGTATACGCGCGGGATGGATCAGATTGGCCTGGCCTTAAGCCGTCGCAAATTACCCCGTAAGCCTTTTAGTCGCCCTGTGTGTTTTGCTGGCTGCACCCTAAACCTCCCCCGTCCACCACCTTTCCTATCCTACTCGTCGTCCACCTCTGGCCCCGCCATCCCTTCGCTCTCGACGGTCTTGCGTTATTATTTTGTTGGCCGGTAATATCCTGGAAACCCCCGTGGGGTTTCGCCAGGCCACTCTAAAGAGAATTTAACCGGAGCTCGCGGTCTAGGGGTTGCACGTTACAGAAATAGTTGTGAACTCGGCGAATTATCAATCGGCTACGGGTTTGCCCTTTTATCCCGCCAGTACGGAATAACACGGACAACTTTAAATTAGGTGCGCACGTTCTAACGTCTAACGTTTAATCGTCGGAACAATTAATTCTGGTACAGAAAGTAAGGATTCCATCGTTTTCCTTTACAGCTTGCCTGCGATAAAGATACTTGTATATTACGTTGGCCGTTGTAACAAGTATTTTGTATATTAGAAGACGCGCTTTAACGCGGAAAGTATCGATTTGATATTGAAGCGTGAAAGCTGTACGAGAAAAATCAGAATGGAAAGTATATGGAAGAAGATATAGTGCGAGATAAGAAATACTTTTCGAAATATCATTAAAGAGTCGTAGATCTAAAATTTCTGTGGAAAATTACGAACGATATCCTGGTGATTCTGGAGCTAAGTTCGATGGGTATAAGCGTTTGGAGCTTAATCGCAGGGAGAAAGAAATTTTGTACGGTTTTATGTTTCTCTGTGAGATCGATCGACTCGTTTTCCAAAAAATTGTGAATGTTAGTACTAAAAACAATGTTAAACAAAATTAATACTCGACTTTTCAGCCAGCAAATGATTGTACTCAATAAAGTTTATCTTTTGTGTAGATCATATTATACTGGTTTTTGTAATAGCTACTCTGAATATTAGAACAATTAGGAAAACATGTAATGAACATGTTCTTCGTGACTTCCCATTCAGACTGCGTGTATCATTGATGAGACGATATGATATGATACACGCTACAGTATTTATTCCGTGTACTCTATAAAAACGCGTGTTCTATGGTAATTACGTTTATTTATAGTCCAATGTTGCTGACATTTCCGATTTGTCAATTGTCATTCTTGATTTATTTTACATTTTCGAGTCGCTTATTAATAAGTCTCGTCTACATTTGGGAACGTTTTATAATAACGGTACCTGCTACGATCTGAATACTAAATTTTGGTCCAAACGTACCAACACAAGCATCGTTACACCATAATGTTGTCTTGCGATTTCTAGTGCATCCTCACCCTCCAACATCCCACTGATTTCCAACAATTGAACCACGAATAATAAGAAAATAATAAATTTCCATAGAGTTAATTATCGTAGAAAACAACAGCCATGTCTCCGTTGCGAAGGTAAAAGTTTCAATTTGCGAATAAACCTTAGTCTAAGGAATATCTTGAAAACACTGATGGGATACGAAACGCGATATATCGTCGCAGCTAAATCTGCCTTCTTTATCCGGTTGATGGTGCCAGCATCAAAAGACTAAGGCCCGAGGCCCTCGGGGCGCGGGAGTAAAAATTTAACGCAATTCCAAGTGATTACCGCGGCTCTGTGATACACCCCTTATGTATCCACCCCTTGATTGGCCTACATTGTCGATGCTTAACTGTTTCATGCACCAGTGACCGACTAGGGGGATATCATTGCGCGCGATAGGGGTAACGTTTTCATAGCCCCGGGGGCGGGGTTGTCGTCATTGTCAAGATTCAAATGTAAAAATCGTCGCGGGAGGTCGACGATATTCCGTAATCCCATGACTGGAATGATTACAACGTTGAAACGGCTTTTTGGTCGTATCATTTGTTCCCATTATAGCCGAAAATAATTCACGAATCGCGTGACGAAAAAGTTAACCCTTATCGCCTGGCTGATGCCACACTTTTCTCTAATTCTTATTTTCTTTTCTACGTACATGCGCACGTACCATACGTTTGGCAACACCTATCGCCGTGTCTAATACGCGTCGCCCGACGTATAATTTCTTTATCTTCCAGTTAGATCGCTAATACCAGTATCTAATAATGGCTGATCCATCAAATATTTAGAGTCTAAAGTCCCTGAAACGTCAAACCTTTCATTCCGTTTCATAGTTGAACGTGAATAAAGAGATGGCTATCTTCGGACGACGAAGATCGATTTTATATTTTGCCGTAGTTTTTCCTATAAAGATAGATTGATGTGTAATTAAAAAAAAAAAAGAACAAAAAAAAAGAAAGAGTAGGGGAGAGAGATCGTACAGAGGGTGATATGGAATACACATGGTATTTCTTATGAAAAGTATTCTCCGGAAGGATCATCAGGCTTGATGCCTTCGCAGATAGGAAATAACTCTTCGTGGCTCGTTCGAGCGACAAAGAATTTATACCATAGGTTACTCGATACCTTCCCGTAGCATAATACGCACACCATACGTGCGTGCAACGCGCTTGCGACCCAGGTACGTACGCGTTAAACGTACGCGTCTCGTACAGAACGCCGGAGATACCATCTCGTTTAAGGATCAGGATCAGGAGTACAGTGTTGCATTACATCACCGGTCATGGTTATCCCTTAATACACCGGGTGTTCTCTTAACGAGACCGTAAACGAGAGTCGTGTTACGAAGGGATCTTTAACGATAGAAAAAAGAAAAAAAGAAAAGAAGGAAGAGAGTCCGTACGAAGAAATATCGGAGAAATATTTCAAGACATGTTCGAAGAAACGTTCGAAGAAACGTGCAAGGAATATTTAAATATAGCGTCGTTTATCATAATACCGATGGAGCCCGGCTGTTTTACCCGGGACAGGATATCACAGCGACGTAACGTTTCATACAATTACATAATTAAAATACCGGCCGTGGAAGCGGCGATCGCCGAGCAAATTACAAACCGCGTGTCATCGTTTGACATCTAATCGAGCGCGTTTACGAGCTGTTATTACCGATTATTTCTGCTAAATACCAACGCCATATGAATTGCCAGCCTCGCGAGCCACCTCTCAGAAGACACGGGCTCTGACATTCGCGTGTCGCGTTCAATTGCAGCAACGTGTTCATTTCGATCAACGGGGAAACGCACGGCGTTGGACATTCACGGACGCGAATCGACCAGGCTAAATCGTTCGTGCGACCGACAAAGATGCAGAACATCGTATCGTATCGTGTATAAATGCCTGTGTCGCAAGATTTACTACGTCTGATTAAGCAATTAAGCCGTACGGAGGCGCTTGGTGGAGTTTTTGCCGCGTGGCCAGCCAGCAATTCTCGTTATAAATTCAACCGTCTTCGATATGGAAGCTTGCCAGGTACGACGCTGCCTCTTCCTCGGCTACTCCGTTTCTCCCTCTTTCGTTGTTCGCTATCGTCTTGCTCAGCTGCGGCCTTACGACGATACAAGACGAATGGAAAAAGGGGAGGGAATACGTCGGAAATCTCGTCACGGTATAGCCCGCTGTTAATTGTCGCTATAATCTACGCGGCAAGACCGAAATTCCAAGTTGCTAGAAGCTAACGATCGCGGGGCCGCAGAGAGGAACAGAGGGGTCGTTAATTATCTTAGCTAATAACGCGAAGGTTCGCGCGGGACGATCCCGACTTTCCATCGTCCAAGCTATTCACCAGTGATCGAGGAAGAGTATATTAATGGAATGGATGGAGGCAATCTTTTCGAGAAAACGGCGAACATATTAATTTTAACCGTATGATTGCGGCTCTGTATCGGTTTTGCACAAGCGGCCCGAGTTAATCAAGAATTGATTTATGTAACCGTGCGTGCAGCATAGGCTACCACTGAACGATGAATTACGGGAACGAAGCAGAAGCTGGAATTCACCGGCAATTATTTAGCAGTGATTAGACGCGATTTCGAATTAACAACGTCGAGAGCGGCGAGCGGCCAACAGTCGAGTCACGTCGAGAAAGAATCCGTTTAGCTAATTTCTGTCGGCAGACTCCGAGAAGAGCAGGCCCCCCCACGGCGTTCACTGTTGATTCATTTTATTAATTTTTCTCATTCCCCACGATAATTCGATCCGGAGACGAAAGCAGAGGCGTCCTCGACGACTGCTGAATTAAAGACATTACGACGAGTCACCCCCGAAATCGGTCCGTTCGAGCAAACTCCTTCTGTTCTTTGCTGCTGCTGAAAGGGAAGAAAGAGAATAAGCGAGGAAATTACCAGGCCCGTGAAAATTCAGCGACGTCGCCCGTCGGATTTATTACCGACCTTCCACGTCATTATCATTTCCAAATTACGTTCGTTTCACGGCTTCGTTTCTAGACACCGAAGAAATTCTTCTTGATTAACATGCTACTCTATCGAGCGTAGATACACGTAGCGATTCGCCAAAGTATCCCGACTTTTAATTCGGTATTGCTAAAAATACAAATTTCTACGAACGTATTACGCTCGTTGGTACGAAGGTTCGAGATTCCTCGCAGACTTCAACGTCCATCGGTGTGAATCTCTTTCTCTGTTTCTTTTTTCTTTTTTTTTTTATCTTTCTTCTGCCTTGTCGTCGATGAGGAATAGAACGGTAGTCTATGGGGAATAAACGTAGCCGAGCAGAAAAATTAAACGCATTCAGTGTCCCATAGGGTGGACCAAAGAAGGGGGAGAGAGTGCGAATCAATTTCTGACGTGTCGGCCGTGTCCGTGTAAACCAATTTCAGGCAATTTCGCGTCAAGAATAGCCTCTTCAACAATGAATTGACCCCACGCGAGGACCTTTCCAATTTTAACCGATCTCGAGAATACTTCTTCGGCAACGGGCAGGCGTTCGTGTTCCAACTCACCGCTAGCTTCCCCTTCGGCGACGACGATCATGAGATCGAGATGAATCAGACGTCGCCGAGAAAGCTTCTCCTCTCCTTGACCGAAAAATCTTTCCTTTCGATTTCGTTTTTCAGCGAAGCACGAGTCCAGCGAAAATGTCATTTATAAGACAGAGTTAATCTGACATGTTTGATACCGAGTCTGTAAATATTATTTCGTTTAACGTATACTTGGTGAAAGAGATGAGGTGATCGTCGGTGAAGGTGACCACGAGAAATACTCTTGATTTTCAACAATAACGCTCTTAACGATTAAATTAATTAAACTCTTAACGATTAACAACAAATAACGATCAACCACGATTAACAAGTAACAACGGTTAACGATTAACAACGATTAGTAACAAATAACGATTAACACTGAACTATCAAGAGTGAATAACCCGTTTCTCTGATTGCGTTGGCTTCGCGTAACCTTTCGCGCATCGCAGCTCGAGGTATAATGAACCTTTTGCTTCCAAACCAAACAGATTCTTTTCGTTGTTGCCCCTCGATATCCCCAGTACGCGCGCGTTTATTAGAAGTCCGCGACGATTGCCGCGTATGCATTCTTCCGAATGTTCGGCTAAAGAACCGTAGGCATATCGATGATACGTTAGGCCTGTCTGCCTTAAGCTTCGAAGGTATAGCGCTTTGTGTCGCGAAGCCGTTGGAAATTTCCGTGGTCGAGTGCCGCCACAGAGATATAGCGACGTTATAAATTGACGCGCATTAATCGATAAAATCGATCGATGCACGTCCTAAAATTTCAGACAGGAAAAATCGTTTGTCGATCGATGCAATAAGTATTGGAAAATAATAATAAAGTATTAGAATAATAATAATAATAATAAAAGTATAAGGAGAATAATAATACGTTCGATATATACACCAACTGTAAGATAAAAGACACAGCAGTCTTCGTCGTTTCGAAAGGAACAAAATCCCAGTGTCGTCTCCCAAGGGAACCGCTCGCGTACCGCTTTATCGCGAGTGTATTTTCAGAGAGCCGCGTAGCCGCGTGTCCTGAGTGAAATTAGCAAATCCCTGCTCCCTCGAGGCAGCAGGATACGCGTCGTCCATGGTTTGCTCGTTGTGTTACAACACGCACCGCTTCGTATTCCTGGCCCCTTTTCAATGTTCCGGTTTCTTCGACTGTCAAATTTAATAAGCTCGCTATCCCGATTTTCCTCGGACCGGAATATACTCCAAAAAGCAAAAGCCACCTTCGAAATATCGAAGCATCCTCTCGCGAATATAATTTAGAAGAACGTTTACATTATCGTTCGATATTTTCGTCGTAAGCTCGATAGAAGAGTAACGATGAACTTTTTCCGTTTGCGAGATACGTTATCGTATTGATGCGATAAACAGTAATCCACGCCGTATAATTTGCTTAGACGTCGTGGCGGAATTTAGTACGCTCCTTGCAAAGGAGTCAGTTCCGCGTTTCAGGGAAACTCGATTATCGAGGCCGCGTAAATTGCCGATAGCTTTCTGTCTTTCTCGTCCTTTCTTTCTCCTTCGATCTCGGTACCATGATTCCATTTTATTTCTTTGCCACCTCAAGCTCCCTCTAGTTTCCAGCGACGAATAGTCAAGGCAATACCCTGTTCGTGCAAATTTTGTTAACGTCCTACGTGAGTAGTACGCGGCTTTCCGTAGAAGTAGCCTTGCACGATGGTAGCTAAAAGGTGGCTGGAAGGCGCCTGGAAATATAAACATGGAAATATAAAATACCGTTTGCCGTGAGAATGGAACAAACGTATCGGACCAACGATCGAAACATTAGTGTTTAATATTAACGATTTGCGCACCGCTGCCGGATAATTACATTTCGCGCGATGACCGAGCCCTTGTTAAGACATTGGCTACCGGTTGACAACGTTGCATGTTGATACGACGTCATTAACACCAGCCACGTCGTTTCGTATATATGTCGGCTGCATATTGCACCGGGCAAACATTAAGGTCGCGTCCACCAGCTTATACTTTTATCGTTCGAACACGCTCGCAGACTAAAGAACCGTACAACGAACTCTTGAACGTAGCTGCATACACCTTCTGCTTAAGGAAACCATCGGAACGAGGTGTTACGCGTTCGACTTATGGTACTCGCGTACGAGTTGTACGCGCAAGAAGCTTAATGACGATCGGAGAGGGTAGAGCTTGACAAAACGATACAACAGCCGGTTACCCAAAAGAATTTCGTCGAATTATCTGGCCGCTCGATCGGTCCCGGCCTGTTTCCTGGAAACACGGTAGCTGGATTACATGCAGATTTCTACCAGCTCAGCTGGATCGTTACAGTTTTTGCCCGGGTTACACACTTTCGTCGACTGTTCACGAAGCAGCGGGCCTGCTTTTAAACCGTTTTAGAGCCGGCTCGCGCACACGCGCGTGCGAAACGCTGCTCGTAGATCGTATCTCGGTCGGGTGTTTACGCGAGAAAGGTGGCTGGACAACGGAACAAAAGATCCAAGAAAGTATACGCGGGGCCAGGCCGCGAGCTAAGAACTAATTAACCCGTTATCTCTACCGTCCGGTCACGATTAATTTCGCGTCTCGAGGGATCGTCGATGGTTCTTCGTACGTGTTTCGTATGTACGAAGAGTTATATACACGGCATTAATCAAAGTTGGAGGCCCCGGTGGATGCTTCCGGGACGAAAACTCAACCGTCTGTTTCGTGTGAGAGACTCCTTTTTAATCCTGGTTCCATCAGTTACGTCAGAGGCTGTCGTTGATTCTTTCCGCGGCTTGCAACTTGTAATTAACTCCGGGTATAAAGCGGTATCAATCGTGGGCTCGATCACGCGAATTCTCCTGAAACGCGTTTCCACCGGGTAGCTCTCGGTGCGGGACAGGTTGATTTTTCGAGATTTTGCAATGTAGCCGACGGGCGCCGACCGGTTTCTCGATTACGCTGAAAGTGGCGCGTTTTTTTCTTTTTCTTTTCCGATTGTACGGCCGAATCGATCGCTCATTGGACATCGTTGATAGCGAGAAGTAGCGAGATAGCTAAGTGACTCGCGCGATTTTAATACGATCCTTTGAAGCTTGATGGTGATTCCACGGTTTAACTAATAAGTCAGGGTTCTCGTCGGTTCTTTTAACGATCGCTAAATATTTATCGCTGTTGCATCCTCGCGCTTAGTCCGGGTATGTACGAGAATGTGTTTGATATTTCTTCAAAATGGTACAACTTTCTCGTCGTGCAAACTTTCGATTATACATTTATATATTGCATACATCGAACTATACGTCGTTAACTTAAAAAAAAAAAAAAAATTGCTATTCCAAAAAACGTTAAACTAACTCTGGCTAGTCGCGAAATATCGTGAAATTATCTCGTTCTTTTCAAAGGATAACAAACATATCCGAAGAATATTGCGATACCGTGGTAGACTCGTCGATTTTTGACTAGTTCGCCTGGACAAGGATCGATAACGAGGCTGTAGCAACGACGTTTCTGATAACAAGATATCCATGTAGTCGCTGGAGACTCTGCCTCGTCCGAATTTTTCCTAGCGTCCGTTTTTACAATCTCCCGCCACTTCTCTTCTCGAGAGGACAACTCGCTGGTTTTTGCGTTTCACTCGGTTAATTTACAGTCCTGCCATAAATCCTTCTGTAACGCGGATCGCAAACGGCTACCGTATCTAAAAACATGGCTGTAATTATCGCTACTTTGTCCGCCGGTAATTACACCGTGCTATTACTCGAAAAATGCCTGGAGTGTTGGACGGTGTGCGCGCGTTCCACGCAGACAGGAAGTACATAGAGGCGAGCGGAGGAAATCGTGCTTTAAACGATACCCACGCGCGTTCGTACGCGAGTGTTCGCTCGCTCGTTTGTTCGTGGCCCGCTCGTTTGATCGTGCAATTATTACGCAACTCGTCGCTACTATATCACCCAACGTTTCGCATATAGGACAGATTTTTCCATCGACCAGTCTAGCGCAGGCTATGGTGTCGGTATATTTCGATATGTACATGCACGTGTACGATATATACGGATTCGTACATACGCTTTTCCATTTCCGCTGTAATTAGAACAACCAGCTAGCCAGAGGTGAACCACGAGCTCGTATCTTGGCCGTCTAGTGGCGTTCGCTACGAAATTAGCAGCAGGCTTTTGCGTAACGCGAGAACGAAATTACTCGCCGGTCCCATTGTGCGCGCAAATGTATGCCTGTTTTTGTTTTCTGTCCTCTTTTTCTTTCTTCTTTTTTTCTTTTTTCGCTCTCCTAGTTGCAGTTGCTCGGGATTTTTCCCCTCGCGAATACCTGCAACCAGAAACGAACGAACGAGCGGACGTCTCGCGAAACTAGGCGTCTCGTTCGTAATATATAAGCCACGCAGGCCTAGTGCCATGGCGTTGCGTATAGAAATTTCGATTCGACAAAACGATAAAACCGGTTTAGAACGATCCCGGTGGATTAATATCGCTTTTTAGTAGACGTCGAACGCCAGCACGCAGATATACACGGCGCAATGTCTCGGTTGCTTCGGTCTTCGATCGGCCGATCGTATTACGAGAACGTACGGTGGAAAAAGCGCGAATACTGTTGCCGCGAGTTCTAGTGATTAAAAACCGGTGTTTGCCCCGTAGCGTCGAGGTGTGCTGTCGTTGGTAGAGAGTCGCGTTGTAGGCTAAAGGAGAGGAGAAGACAGGTATATAACGCGAGTTACGAAGCGTTCACGCATTCGTCGTATTCGGAGCAACAGGAGCTTATCGCGGCGTGGAATCTTTTCCTCGGTCGAAAACCTCGCTTTTCTCCGTAAATTAGGGGCCCGTGGCTATTTTCGATGGCGGATGTGACGTTGCAGCCTTCGGAAGTGGCCCTTTTTGTTAGGAGCCGCGGACCATTCGCTCGCCTGGCCGGCGTTAATAGCGGTTTGCTGCCCTTTCTGCTCGTTTGCCGTTAACCATCGCGCTTTTTAGCGGCCCTCCGTCTATATTGTTTTCGGATCTCGTTCGCCCGATAAAAAATATTCACTTTGCCCTGTAGAGAACTTCGTAACGGATAAAGAACTACCACCGGTTACTTTATATTACGTGTAACGAGTATTTTTCTATTCACGCGTTGCTTCTATCAACTTTTATCCGTTTGTTCGAGCATCTAATAACCGAGTAATTAGTAAGATATCCAAAGCCAATTGTACAAAGTCTCGACCATATAAT